GGGAGACTAGGTTCAGAGGTGACGTCACCGCGGGGTACCCAGGGCAAGACCGCCGCGCAGCACGCTGACCAACGGGTTTGCAGCGAGCCGCGACTGGTGTCGTGGCGCTGACGCTGCCTTCGGCTCGAGCTGCTGCTCCACTTTCACCCCAGGTGCTAGGGCGGCACCACCCGAGAGCCGCGTCGTGACGTCAGCGGCTGCCGCTGCCTGCTGCCTGCTGCCTGGCGCCGCACCTTGATGTCTCTGTGTAGCAGCTGTGCTGAGTGCATGTACTTGAGGGCCCTGAACAGCTGGTACATCACGTATTGCTTGTGGACCTGACAGGGGCAGAACAGGGTGCGCATGAGAGTTGTGTGTGTGTGTGTGTATGTGTGTGTGTGCATGCGTGTCTGTTTGTGTGCGCAGGGGTGTACATGTGTGTATGCACAGGTATGTGTGCCAGTGTGTGAAGGGGGGGTTGCACATGTGTACATGTAACCACGAAAACATGCACACGCGCGCGCGCACACACACTCTGGACAATCCAAAATGCGATCTCAACCAGAATGACCACACACCAACCCAACCACAAGCCCTACGCCCCTCCGTCACCGGAGCTGAAGTCTTCCTCCCGCAGCTGTCACAGACACCAACCTGACCCCCGGCCTGCAGAGCTGCTGCCGCCAAAACCCATCCACTCCCATGCAGGAGCGCTCAGGCCGGCCAGCCCATGTGCCCAGCCCACCTCCTCCAGTATGTTGGCGCGTATGACCGCGTGCAGGTCTGTCTCCATGTATTCAAACACCAGGTAGATGTCCTTGTCGTTCTCAGCGCGCAGCACATTCTGCAGCCTGGGGCGGCGGCGGCGGCGGCGGCGGGTGATGCGATGCAGTGTTCAGGGTGGTGGCTCCCTGAGCCTTGTGTTGTCCCAGGGTGAGCTGGCCGCGCGGTGCGGCGTGCGGGGGTCAGGGCCCATCCGGCGCTTACCGGGCCCACAGCCAGGCTACAACGCACTCGCTGCCCCGCCCCATCCCGCCGATCGGGGCGCCTGGGTGCTGTGATCCATCATGTGCAGCCAGGGCCGGCTGCTCCTGGTGGTGGCCTCGTATCGCCGCACCTGATGATGTTCTCGTGCTTATCCAGGTCTTGGAGGAACATGATCTCACGAAACGTGCGCTGCCAAGACAAATGTAGGGGGATAGTGGGCCGGGGCCGGGTGAGACGGTGGCTGAGGGGTGGCCACCCGGCAACCACTTGGCACCTGAGAGGGGACCTGAGCCGTGCCGCAGCGACTGCAGCAGCGGCGGCTGCGGCAGCAGCGGCGCCAGCCGGCGACCCGGGCTTGATCTGGACATCTTGCAGCCAGTGCTGGCTGCCGCCGTGCGGCCGCGCGTGTGCGCACGCGTGCGGCGCGCCCCTCGTGCCGCACCTGCGCGTCCGTGGCGTTCTGGAAGGCATCAAAGATCTTTTTGAGCGCCACCACCTGCTGGCTCTTCTTCTCTATTGCGCGCCACACCACGCCGTACGCCTGCCGGGTGGGTTCGGGAGGCGTGGCGCCGGCTCGAGGGCGGATGCGTGGACCATACATGCAGGGTTCTGGTTGTCGGCCGATGCGCAAAGCACGGGGCGGCCTGTTGCCACACCCGCTCCTATGTGGGCGCCGGGCCGGCTGCAGCAACGACGCAGCTGCCGCTGCCATGTGTTCAGATCCCTGCCGCATACTCCTGTGTGTGGCTGCTCACCCCCTTGCCGAGCCGCTGGCATATGGTGTACCTGCAAAATGGAAAAAGTGTGAAGCGCAAAGCAAAGGCACGCACGCATGTCTTGCAACCAGGTCTCGCAGCACTGCTCCAGTTGTCAGGGGCAGCGTAGCTGCATGCATGCTCTGAGAAAAATCATGGCACGAGCCCATTACATCCGTCTGGTCCTGAAACACCATGCATTGACCAATCGCAGCTCACTTGCGCAACACATGATTGTCAATCTCCTCGTCTGCCATGTCCACGAGTGGTGCCGCCTCTCCACCAAAACGGCCGTCGCAGCAGCCTCCACAGCGCCTGGGTCCTTTGGCCTGGGTCCTTTCGCCACGGCTGTTCGATCGGCCGTGCGCCTGCCGCAGCCACTTCCGCCGCCGCTCCTCCCCTGCGATGCCCGTGCACCCGCGAAAAAGGCGCGGAACGCAAGGTGGTTGATCTCAACACACTTTCCTGGAACTGTCTGCACATTGATTTGCTTGGACAAGCCCCAGCTGCACACACATTGTGTCAGTCTGACAATCTCCCTGTGAACGCATGCTGCTGCTGTATGGTTGGTGTGTGCTGCTACTCGCTGCGGCAGCAGGCTCCGCAGCCGTAGCCAGCAACGGCGCATGCCCCCAAGGCGGACTCTGCAACGAACACACACTAACCCTGCGCACAGGCTCTGCCAAGTTGCACAGCTCGAGGCTTCTGCTCTCAAAACGCAATGAGTGTTGAGCCACCACCGCGCCAAGGCTCTGTGCGGTCTGCTGAGCTCCTGTAGGTTTTAAAGACGATAATATCACGATCGAGCGCTCGTATAAGGAACGCAGCCGTGTCTAGCTGGGTCAAACGCCGCGCTGTTCGCTGCAGGCGTCCAATGATGCTGAACTTGGATACGTTGGCAATGTTAAATCTACTTCAACAATGCAGTAGGGAGGCTCGAGCACCTTGAGCACAGCGACAGGCCGGCAGCTTCCCAAGCAAGCACAGCTCAAACGACAGCACGCACTGTAGCTCGATGCTAGAGGGCTATAGACGCTGGGGTGATGAGTGCTTGCGCAGAGCGATCACCTGCTTTTGTCGCATATTCTATACCAGTGCGGCACTATCGTTGAATCGTAGACAGCTAGCTAGATAGTGAGATCGAGCTTTCGGGACTTGCCGAGATACTCGCACATCATGGGGGCGCCAAACGTCGGGGAAGCTGTAATTGTGAGTCAAAGCGAGGGCGCACCGGGCCGGCACACCGTGCATCTGCCGTGTGTGCTGCACGCATAGCACCCGCAGCCCCATCGGCGAGGCCTGGTCGCTGGCTGCCGTCCCGGGGGGTGCGGGCCACCCTTTCAACAAAGTGAGTGAGCACATGCGCGCAGGCCCCGGATAACGTGGCGACTATGCAGCTGGTGGAGTTGGTGCAGGAGAACGCTCAGCTGCGATGCAAGGTTGAAGTGCTGCAGGTGCTCCTGAGGGTTGTACACCCCTGGAACCATGCGCCGTGTGAAAGTCCTAGTCCAATGATTTAATACGGCTGGATGGTGGCGCAGTCCCACGGCACCCGTCCTGCTGGCCAACAGCACCGCTGCTCCTGCCCGTGCAGGGGCTTGCAGCTGGCGTTGCTCCCGGACTGCATTGCCTGCGCCAGCGCCCCCGCTGGCAAAGGTCCCTAGGGTCACGCCCCCGTCCACTCACGCCCCCGTCCACTCACCACTGCATGCTGCATCCTGCTCGTGCATCCGCGTCTCTGTGCGCAGGGATGCTGCAAAGTCCTGGAGGAGAGTCTGGCCAAGGCTGTGCGGGCCTTGGCCGAAAAAGAAGATGAGATCTCGCAGGAAAAGCAGCGGCTGAAACCGTCTAAAAAGCCCCAGATCAAGCGCGTCAAGGAGCTGGAGGCGGCGCGGGGGTTTGGGGCCAAGGGTGGGGGCAAGAGTGGGGCCAGCGCGAGCAAGGAGGCAAAGAGGCAGAGGGACGCGTGCCCAGGGGACGACCCGGGCGCACCGGAGAAGGCGTCATCCTAATGCCTACTTGTTGTGCCTTGCGCTTGCGGGTGGTCGTTTCATCGGTCTGTACTTTACCCGATAGCTGGCAGGAACTTCCTTGGCAAAAAACTACTCAATTGTTACAAAATGTTGCAATCAGGCCTGTAAATCCCATTCGCTCCGCATCAGCTGCGCTGTGTTTTGGTGGCGCCCATGCGTGACGTGACCTCAGTTGTTGTTCCGCGTAGAGGTAACATTGCAAAGCGGTTGACGTTTTGGAGCCTTGGTCTCATTGGCATGACACGTCAGTCCAAATCTGAGTCGATGGGCTGGATTCCCGGCGCCACTGGGCTCCTGCAGAACGGCGCCGCAGGTGCGCTCGCGGTGCAGGGTGCTTGTTTGTGCATGCGTGGGTCACACGTGAGTCCAGCGCAGCCGAGCGGCCAGTACCTGGCACATGCATGATTCCCCACATACGGTGTGGTTAGATCCATGCTGCAGGCGCAGGCAAGTTTGGGGAACGCATGTTGGAAGTCCACCGTGCAGGGCGCACACCGACGTGACACAGCCTGAGCCAGGACACAGCATGCTCGAGTTGATGATCGCACATCGCACAGGCCAACAAACAGCTTCGATTTCAAAAGTGGCATCGGACTATCATATAGACACCCGTCTACGTAGTCTTCGACCGTTGTTCTCCTGTGTTCGTCAGAAGAGAGCTCAAAAATTGCGCAGGCACCTCGCCAGCCGCGTGGGAGCTCGGTGCTGCTCTGGAGAGCATCACGATACAAATGGACTTTCGTTGTACCTCCTAACCCTGCGCCGGGGGGCCGCTTCTCTTGTGTGCAACTGGGAAGAACGGTAAGCTCTCACGGTCATGCCGTGTTTGGCACTGAAGTTTCCCAAAGATGTGGTATTTCTTTGTGGTATCACGGCTGCAGCGGCTACATCCCAGAAGGCATGCAAGAGTTGACAAGTGCGCCAGTGCAGCACACGCGCGCCGAGCGCAGCAGGAGCAGTGCACATCCAGTCTGTGCTCCACCTCACGCTGTGTCCTTCCTCGCATCACCCAGTGTGCCAGGGGTCGTCGCGGCATTGCAAGCCATGGTGGGTATTTGATGCGTGTCACGCTGCGGAACTTTTGCGCTTCTGCAGCAGCAGCAGTCAGCAGCAGTGGCATGGCCGTGGGTCCGGTCCACAGGGGGACTTTGCCCACGGCTCATCTGTCCACGTCGCATGCATGCCGCCCGCCCCCTCAATGATGCTCCATGCGCGGGCCTGGCGACGCACCCGCCTGCCTTGCTTATGAACCAACGACTGACGTTGTTGCCCTCCCTATCGCAACAGGAGCCCGCCGTGGCCCCGCTCCAGGCGCGCGTGGCGGAGCTGGAGAGCGCCAACGCCTACCTGGAGCAGTGCCTGGGCAACGTGGTGCATGTCTCCCAGGGCGCGGTGCAGCTGCAGCGCGACTTTGACGAGGCCCTGGCCCTGGCGCAGGCGGCGGAGGAGCGCAGGGCGCGGGTGCAGGCCGAGGCAGACGCCCTCAAGGGCCGGCTGGCAGCCGAGGCCACCGCGCGCGCGGCGGTGCAGCTGGAGGTCAACGCGGCGTGCGCCGAGATCGAGCAGCGGCGGCGGGAGGACGCGGCGCGGCGAGCGGCGGAGCGGGAGGCGCGGCTCGCGGCGGAGCGGCGGGAGGCCGAGGAGGCGGCGGAGCGGCAGTGGGTCAAGGAGGCGCTGCTGGCGGCGGAGGAGGAGCGGCGGCAGCTGTCAGACGCTTTGCTGGCGGCCCAGGCCGCCGGGGAGGCGCAGCAGCAGCAGCTCTCAGACCTGCAGCAGCGGCTTGCCGCCTTGACAGCTGGGCATGTGGGTGCAGGAGCACTGCAGCAGCCGCATGAACGGGGACAGGAGCAGGGGCAGGGGCCGGGGCAGGGGCAGGGGCAGGGCGGGGAGCAGGAGCTGCTGCAGCAACCGCAGCAGCAGCAAGGAGTGCAGCATCAACAGTCAAGCGCAGTGCAGCAGGTGGCAGCTGCCCTGGCGGCGGCGCGCTCCGGGCGCTGCACGCAGGAGCAGATGCAGTTGCTGCAGCAGTTGTGTAACCTGCAACAGCTAGCGTCAAGGTCTCAAGGCGCCGCTGACGCTGATGGCACCCAGCAGCAGCAGCAGCAGAAGCAGCAGCAGGAACAGCAGCAGCAGCAGCAACAGCAGCAGCAGCAGCAGCAGCAGCAACAGCAGCAGCAGCAGCAGCAGCAACAGCAGCAGCAGCAGCAACAGCAACAGCAACAGCAGCAGATGCTGGCCAAGGCCTGCAGCGCGCGCGACGAGGTGCAGCGGCAGCTGGCGGCCGTCCTCCAGGCTGTTTCGGCCGACAGGCGCAAGTGGGAGGAGGCGCTGAACGCCGTGGCGTCATCGCGTGCCGCGCTGCTGCGCGAGTTGCAGCTCGAGCAGGGCAAGCGCCAGCAGCTGAACGAAAACCTGCTGAAGGTGGCCGGCCACGCGGCGCAGCAGGTAAAGCAGCTGCAGCAGCTGCAGCAGCGGCAGCGCGAGCTCGAGCAGGAGGACGCGGCGCTGAACGCGCAGTGCGATGCGCTCACGCGGCAGCTGCAGGCGGCGCAGCAGGCGGCGGCGGGGGCTCAGGGGGAGCTGGCGGCCGCGCGGCGCGACGCAGAGGAGCGCGCGGGCGAGCTGCTTGCCGAGCAGCGCGCAGCGGCCGCGCTGCGCGAGCAGCTGGCGGTGCTGGGTACGCGGCTCGAGCGCGCCGAGGCGCCCCACGGGCCGCTGCGCGGGGTGCAGGCGCAGGTCGCACAGGTGCTCGCTGACTTGCGGGCGGCACAGGCAGCGAACGCGGCGCTTCAACAGCAGCTCGGCGAGGCGCGCGAGCAGTTTGCGGCCGCGCAGGCACAGCAGTTTGCGGCCGCTGCGCCGCCGCCGGCGAGCGCTGCTGTTGAAGCGGAGCGCTCTGACGTGCCGCTGCTGCAGCGCGCGTTGGAGGAGGCAAAGCACGGGTTGGAGGAGGCCAAGGCGGCAAACGCGGCGCTGCAGCAGCAGCTGGCAGGAGCTTTGGAGGCGTTTGCGGCTACGCAGGGGCAGGGGCCGGCGCAGCAGGCTGGTGCGACTGTGCTGCCGGCGGAGATGGAGCGTCTGCAGCTGGTGGCGCGGGAGGCCAAGGCCGGCGCAGCGGCTCTGCAGCAGCAGCTGGACGAAGAGAGGCGGCTGCGCGCAGCTGCGGACGAGCAGCTCGCGCAGGCCGCGGCGCTGCAGCAGCAGCTTGAGGAAGAGCGGGCGGCGCGCATCGCAGCGGAGGAGAGATTATTGCAGGCTGCAGCGCTGCAGCAACAGTTGGACGAGGAGAGACAGGCGCGCCAAGCGGCTGAGGAGCGGTTGCAGCAGGCAGCAGCGGCTCAGCAAGCTGCATCCGCCGCTGCGGCGGCCGCAGCGGCGGCGGCCGGGCCCCGGCTCCGACTGGAGGCTGCACCAGCCACAGAGGAGGCTGCCCATGGCTATGACGCCGGGCCGCGGCAGGCGCAGCAGGTGGCGGAGCTGCAGAAACGGCTGGACGAGAAGGCCCGCGAGCTCCAGAGCACCCGCCAACGCCTGGAGAAGGCACACGGCGACCTCCGCACCTCCACCAGCTGGATGGAGACGGCGCACTCCGAATCGGAGGACCTGCGGCGCCAGTTGCGGGACGCGCAAGAGGAGAACGCGCGTCTGCGGAGGCGCCGCGGCGCACCAGCGGAGGCGGCGGGCTCGGCGAGCACGGAGGCGGGTGTCGCCGGGGCGCCGGGGGCAGGCGTGAAGCGGCGGCTCTCGACACCCGAGAGCGAGCGTGACGTGATAGAGATCGACTGATGCAAGTGGACGTGTTGGTGTGATCGCGGGCGTGAGCGTCAGGTGGCGCTAGCGGCAGTTCTGCTGTGACACATGAGCTCCACACTCCTAGGTCACATTCTCCTATCATGTGACCTAGGCAGCATCTGTGTTTTTCTTGCTTGCGCCTGTCTTTTTTGTCGCTCAAGAGCAGGCCCATGGCTTGTATGTCCATCACGCCCGAAAGCACGGCTTAAACGGGGTGCGACCCAACGAGAGCGTCTCTAGCACCGCGTCGCTGCATCGCTGCCGCCAAGGCAATCCTCCCCGCGCCTGGAAGCTGGCGTGTTCCATACCGTCAGCCTCCTGCGCCAAACTCGAGTCAATGGATGCCCGCCATGCTGTGCACAGTGACTGACCGCCATGCGGAACAAAAACCCAATGGGTTATTAACATGTAACAACAACAACACGCATCCCTCTGTCCAACCTGATTTGCCTGCAGCTGGGCGCTGCTGGTGGGGATGGGTCCCAGTAGGGTGAGACGGTGGTCAAACTGTCGTGCGGCAGTCGGCATCCGTACGCTGACGTCAAACCTGAAAGGAAGATTAGGATCCAGACCTGGCAGCTAGTGAGCGCCGCTGAAGTCATGCGTGCCCCGCAGCGCAGCAGCAGAGCAGACACGTACGTCCCTGATGGGACCCAAGGAGCAGCCACGCCGCGCGTGCCTGCTCCATCCCTCATACTCGTTACCCAGCCTCACAACTTTGAGGCCCGATATTCCTAGCTGTTTACTCCGTGCATCTTGCCGCGTGCACGCACGAGATCAGCGCCGTAACCCGGTCCCATCGCTTCGCGCCGTTCCCGGCCTCTTAAGCTCTTTATTTCGCCGCAGGGCACTTAGAAGCACAAACACCACAATGTTCCGGGGCGGGCGTGGCGGCGGTCGCGGCAGAGGCGGCGGGCGCGATGGCGGCGGCAGGGGCGGCGGCCGCGGCTTTGGCGGCCGCGACGGTGGCGGTCGCGGCAGGGGCGGCGGCCGTGGCGGCCGCGACGGGGGTCGCGGTGGCCGTGGCGGCCGTGGTCGCGGCGGCGTGCAGAAGGGCGGCCGCGGCGGCATGAAGGGCGGCGCCAAGGTGGTCGTAGAGGCGCACCGCCACGAGGGCGTCTTCATCGCGCGCGGCAAGGAGGACTCGCTCACGACGCGCAACCTCGCGCCCGGCGTGTCGGTCTACGGCGAGAAGCGTGTCTCGGTGGAGCAGCCCGAGGGGGAGAAGGTGGAGTACCGCGTGTGGAACCCCTTCAGGTCAAAGCTGGCCGCCGCCATCCTGGCCGGCCTCGATAACATCTACATCAAGCCGGGGTCAAAGCTGCTCTACCTCGGAGGCGCGAGCGGCACGAGTGAGCTTGGCTGCTTTTGGTGTGCGCGTGTGTGTGCGCGCAGGTGTGTGTGTGTGTGTGTGTGCGTGTGTGTGTGTGTGCGTGTGTGTGTGTGTGTGTGTGTTTGCGTGCGTGTGCGCGCGCGTCACACTCCCATTGCTTTCGAGGCTGCGCAGGTGCCAGCCGATGCACCGCCGCGCGCACAGGGCTGCCCCCGCGTCCTTGTCAGCAGGATGCGGCCATTGTGAGCGACCCGCCACCTCAATCCGCCCTCCGCGCCACCCTGTGTGCACCGCCAGGCGTGAGCCACTGCAGCGACCTGGTGGGCCCCGAGGGCGCCGTCTACGCAGTGGAGTTCAGCCACCGCAGGTGGGGCCGCCACACGCGCGGGGCGCACCAACAACCGGCAGGGGCGGGCGCAGTCCTGGAGCGAGGCGCTGCGGCCGCGCGGCTGCGCGCCCGGGCTGCGCTCGGCTTGGACGCGTAGTGTCCTCGCGGGTGCTGTGCACGCCTGCTTGATCCTGCCGGCACATGCCGCCTTTCAGTCCCAGCAACAAGTGTCCTGTGCTCATCTGGCTTTCTCCCCAAACCCCCCACACTATCTTTGCAGCGGCCGCGACCTGGTCAACATGGCTAAGCAGCGCCCCAACGTGATCCCCATCATCGAGGACGCGCGGCACCCCCAGAAGTACCGCATGCTGGTGCCCATGGTGGACGTCGTGTTCGCTGACGTGGCGCAGCCCGACCAGGCCCGCATCGTGGCCCTCAACGCGCAGCACTTCCTCAAGAACGGCGGCAACTTCGTGATCAGCATCAAGGCGTCCTGCATCGACTCGACGGCGGCGCCGGAGGCGGTGTTTGCGCGGGAGGTGAAGAAGCTGCAGGAGGCCCAGCTCAAGCCCCGGGAGCAGGTGGGCTGGGGCGTCTTGACCTGCCCCTGTGCGGCCTGCGTGCTGGTCGGGGGCTCGGCTGGGCCAAGGGGTTTGTAGGGGGCCCACAGCTGCTGGCCTGGCACGGCGGGCGCGGCGCCAGGTGGCCACGGGTGGCAGGCATCAGTTGAAAACCTGGCAGGTGCTGCGCCGTCTGGCTAGTGTGATCGCCAGGCAGTGCAAGGGCTGTGCTGGACTTGCGTGTTCCGCCCTTCCCACAATCACATACGTGCGGAGCATTGGGGACTGTGGTGTTGTTGCTACACACATACTTGCAACCAACGCCCTGCCTACACACACATCAACACCTACTCCCAACCCCCCAGGTGACCCTGGAGCCCTATGAGCGCGACCACGCCATGGTGGTCGGCGTCTACCGGCCGCCACCCAAGGCCGCAAAGGCGTGATTGGATCGTCGTTTTTGGGAAGAGGGGCGTTAGTTTTCGTGTGGCCAGTCGCGGGAGGCATGCGCTAGAGCACCACGTGGAGCTGCCACGCTCGAGAGCTTGGTCTCGTAATGACAATGACCAGATGGAGCGGGGGTCTTGACGCGGCTGTTCAGCTGTATATGTATGCAGGCGGCGTGCTGCAACGCAATTACGCCTGTAACCAGGACCATGATGTGCAGTCATATCTTCTGAGGGACCCCACAGAGGGGAACGCTATCATTGCCAATGGCGGTGGTGCAGGTCTGGGATGGGTCGGGGCATGGGCATGGAGTGGCCTCACAGCAAGCACTCATGCCAGCAAAACAGTCCATATGCCGGCCCACAGCACCTCATGTGGGGAGAAACAGTCGAATTCCTGCGGGCAAGATCGTTCAAGGGAGCAAGTGCGTGCCTGCTCGAGGCTGCATACCAGTACGAGTCACATTTCACTAGTATCTACCTGAAGGAGTATCGGGTGACTTACTCCAAAGGCGATTCTGGGCACTTCGCGTGTTACTTTCAGCAGAGAGAGCAGCTCTCGCAAGATCGACACCGCAGTTTGAAAGACAATATCAGCCAATAATATTTCAAACCGGCTCCATGCTGCCCCGCAGCATAGCGAGCCGTGGCTCGGCACTCTCCCAGCCAGCGTCCGGGCTTAGGGCTGTGCACGCTAAGATTTCAGGCAGGCAGCATCGTCTGTATACGCAGAATGCGTCAGCACCAGCCACCTTCACGGCCAGGCCGCTTCGGAGATCTGCTGCTTGCAAGTCGACCGCAGAGGACGACGCCGCGCTCGTCCTAACGCCTGACACCGTGGTAGTGGACGAGTTTTTTGAGGTGGAGAAGGTCATAGGCGTGCGTGCATCTCTGGAGGGGGAGGACCCCATCGTCGAGTACCGCGTCAAGTGGAAGGACGGCAGGCCCGACACCTGGTGCGTCTTGGCTCGCGCCGTGCTTGCATGTTTTGGCGGCCAGTCTGGTCAAGCGGTGTGAGAGCAGTACACCAGCATTATATGGTTGGCCTGAGTTCAAACGCTTCTGGACGGCTGGTCTTCGGCTGATGGATTTCAGGGCGACCCAGCCAGCACGACAAAGCTCGCTGCACCCTGCCGCACACCCTGCCACCCCGCATGCCATGGTCACTCACCATGACTTTTTAGACCACTCCAGCAACTGCACAATGTTCACCCCCGTGTCCACTCCTCTCATCCCCCGGTGTGCATGCGCATGATCATCGCGAGCGCACATCCCACTCACCCCACCACCGCCCCGGCTCCCGCCCACGCCCCCGCCCCTGCCTAGGGAGCTCGCCCTCAACCTCTCCCCCGACCTGGTGCGCGAGTTCGACGACCGCTGGTGGAACGCGGCGCGCAAGGGCGAGGAGGCCACGATGCGCGAGATGCTCAAGCACAGCCGCGAGCTGCTGTCGCAGGTCGTCGACGACAACGGCCGCAGGTGGGCCTGGGTGCAAGGCGTGCGGGGTGTGCCGGTGCGATTTATGAGCACATGTGTATATTGCGCATAAGAGCTGGGCGACAGGGTGTGTGTTACTTCGTGCTGGTGTGCACGTTCATGTGCCTCAAAGGCGCTCTTGATCGAGGCGGGGCCCTGCTGGTACTAGAGTGATTCCTACGGGTGCCTGAGGACTTATTGCCTGGTCGCGGGCGGACCTGCAGCGAGAGCAGGCACACCCATGCTCTCGCCATTGCTCAGACCCTCCCCACCCTTGTTGCCCCACCCTGCCTGCGCCCGACAGCGCGCTGCACTTTGCTGCGGCCGTCGGCAGCGTGCCGTGCGTCCAGCTGCTGCTGGCGGCGGGGGCGGAGCCGGACGTCCAGGACAGGGAGGGGTACACCGCACTCCACATGGCGGCGGGTGAGGCGCGGCATGCGGCGCGCCACCTCAAAGGACGGGCAATGTTGGCCTGCCCTCCCTCTGCTATTCAGAACGGCACCATTACTTTGGTGACGGGGAGCACTTGTGAGCGTGCGCTTGTTGCAGCTGCTGCTTGCTCCACCGCACTGACTGCCTTGTCACGCCCACCCACCCGTGCACCCCCCCCCCTCCAGGCTACAGCCAGACCGGCGCGATGATGGTGCTGCTGGAGGCGGGCGCCGACCCCCAGCTGCGCGACAACAAGGGGCAGGACGTACCGCTGCTCATAGACGGGCTGAGGCAGAAGATGCCGCCGGTGGCGCAGCTGCTGCAGCGGCGCTTGGCGCTCGAGCAGGTGCGCGGCGCGGGGTGCCGGGCGCTGCAGCGCGCGGCCTCTCTTGGTCCCCCCCCCTCGGGCACGCGGCCTCCCCTTCTCTGTTTGCAGGCTCTCTAACCCCTGCTGCCGTCCTCGGGGGCTGTATTTGCATCAATTCCCTGCGACTGTGCACGTGAATGCCCCCTGCTTGCCGGCATCGGGCCCGTCGCTCCTCTGCGCCCCTCTTCCTCGGACGGCTGACGCCGCACGCGCGTGGCTTTGGGACCCGCGACCAGGTGGCGGCCGTGGTGACGCGCCGGCTGTACGATGAGGTGGAGGTGGCCGGCATCCTGGAGGAGCGGGAGGGCGCGGAGGAGGGGGAGAAGGAGTACCTGGTGCAATTTAAGGTGGGAATTGCTCTGGGGAATATGTGGCAGGGGGTAGGAGGAGGTGGGCAATACCTGGGAGCGGGGTGAGGGGTCTGCATTCCGCTTGAGAGCACCTGTGGCGCAGCCGAGGGGTGGCCGAGGACGGCTGTGCCGTGCGCTTTGTCTCGACCGGGTCGAAATTCTCGCGACGACCCCGCCCAGGACGGCGCCCCTGACGCGTGGGTGCCCGAGCGCGACGTCGCCCCGGATGTGATCGAGGACTGGCAGGCGGGGATGGAGCGCGTGCAGGTGGGTGGCCCGGGGGACGGGGCTTGATGTGATGTGTGTGTGTGTGTGTGTGTGTGTGTGTGTGTGTGTGTGTGTGTGTTGAGTATGTATTGCATTGCATTTGAGTGAGTGTGCTTCAACTCAAGTTGTGCGCACGCACATGCTTGTGAGTATGTGTGCGCTCGCGTGTGTGTGCAAGGTGGAGATGGACGAGGGGAATGGCAGGTGTCAGCAAAGGTTGATGCCTGCCAGGAGAGGGGGTGTGCCGTCGTGGGCCCCTGCCAACTCCATGCAGCCAGCGCTGCACATCCACACACATGCGAACGCACGCGCGTGCACCCACGCACACACTGACTAATGAACAAAACCATCACACACCCACACACCCACACAAACATACACACATACACACAGACACACAGACACTCACCCACAAACAAAACTTCACTCGCCCGCATGTGCGCCGACCCACTCACGCACCCCCGCGCAGGTGGCGGCCGTGGAGGATGTGCTGCAGTGGGGCACTGAGCGCCAGTTCCTGGTGCAGTGGGCGGACGGCTCCAAGGTGCGCAGCCCCACAAGGGCGAGCCCTGTGCTACAAGCTCGAACCCAACAGGCAGACATGGGCGCCCTCCGCGCCCTCCGGCCTCTGCCGAGGCAGGACGATGGTGGTTGGCGCCCTGCATCACGCGCACTCTTCTGGCTGGACGCAAGCACACGTCACTCCAGTGCTGCGCTGACTTTTGATCTGCACACGCGCACATCCACTGTTCAAAGCACCCACACATCTGCTGAGCTGTGAGCTGTCGCCTCGCCCGCTTTGCTTGCCCGCAGGCCTCCTGGGAGCCGGAGGAGAACCTGCCGCCAGAGCTGGTGGAGGACCTGCGGCAGCGGCGGCCAGAGCTCTTCAAGGGCATGAAGCGGGCAGCAGGCGCAGGCAGCGGCACGGGCCGGCGGCGGCGTCGCAACAACAGTGGCGGCGGCAAGGGGAAGGGGAAGCAGCAGCAGCAGCAGGCGGCGGCAGAGGCGGCAGAGGCGGGCCCGAGCGGAAGCGGGCATGAAGCGGCGGCAGCAGCGGCGCCCAACGGGCATTTGCACAGCCCTCTGGCGGAGCAGCAGCAGCAGCAGCACCAGCAGCAGCATCAATCAGCAGACCAGCAGCAACAGCAGGAAGGACAGCAGCAGCCGGGCAGCAGTGACGCGTCAGCACGCGAGCCACTAGCCGTTCGGTGACAGCCTGTCTTGCCCCTTGTACACAATGTAATCAGAACGCATGTGCAGCACTGCTGCTGTCTGTCTGCTGCTGTCTGGGTTGCGCAGTCCAGCGAATTCCCAGTCACTGTGCGTTGGTTGCAAGAAGCTATGCACAACATCAGAGAGGCGTGCGGGGCTAGGCTGTTTGGAAGAGGGGCCCGCCAAACGTGCGGTCTAGCAGCAGAGGGGGAGGCCCAAGGGGGGAACCCTTGGAACCGACCGGCGAAGGGCTGCGATAGGGGCGCAGGCAGACCCATCCTTGTCTGTTGACGCGGGCAAGGTCTGGTCTTCTGCATTTGTGGAACAGCAGGCAGGATGTATCCCTGCCGATTGATGTCGGTGGCCCAAACCAGCTGTCGTGCGCGTGAATGGCTGACACACATGCTTCTGTTTTCACGCTCTCGCCAAGAAAAGCACACTTGATTGCAGAGACTGGTTGTAGGGCATGCTGGCCCCAAAATAACCGTGCAGATGAAACACAGTCAACAGGGCTCATCGCCCCTCACACCCTCCTTGCAGATTGTGGCCGCTACGCCCCGGGACAGGAAGGGGCCAGCTTGCCGGCAAAAGCGCGTTATTCCGTTTCACCCTGTCAGGCCTGGACACACCAAACGCTTTGCTAGGAGCTCCAAACAAGGACCTGGTTGTAACACAACACATGCGCTGACGCAACACACGCGCGTATACCGGCAACACTGCTGATCCCATCTGAGAGCCAGATACCCGGACATCGCGAGCCATTGTTGCCGGCGTGGCGGCGAGTGAGCGACGACCAACGAGGCACGGTTGCGAACCCTTAGTCAGGCAATAGCGCCACCCTAGGTTTATGCACTGCAGGTTTCGTATTCATTGTAGCAATACAAAGCCGTCGCGCGCCTAGCTTTGATGCAATCCACAAATGTCCGCAGGGGCGCATGTTGGCAGCGCGGTGGACTGGCGCCTTGTGCGCGCTGTTGCAAAGAGCAAGCGTGAGGTGTGCTGCAAATGCATTTCCGAATCGCTGCAGCCAGTGCCTTGCGAAGTGCTGGTGACGATCTCCGCGCCCTGGGGCGCGCTGCTGCCTGTCACCGCCGCAGTTTGATCTGCTGGTGGGCGTGGACGGCCTTATTGCGCAGCTGCAGCACCTGGGTCAAGTGGAGCGTGAGATTTCAAGGGCGCACGCTAGCAACATGGTGAGCAAGTTGGGGTGGCGGCACCAACAACAGCCAGTCGCCTGCAAGGGCACATGGCAGGGGCAGCGCCGGATCGTGTAAAAGCGGCGCCACCCAATGCACCCGCAAGAAGGCCTGGCGGGCAACCCCCACCCTCGAAACGCCCGCCTCGCTACCTCTCAGGCGGCCTGGGACTGCCTCCTCGCCTGCCAGAGGGCGGACCTGATGGCGCTCCTGCCCCTCACAGCCCAGCGCCTGGAGGACCTCTCACACGCGCGCCGCGCCGCCGCCGCCCGCGCCGCCGCGCTCGCGAGCCGCGCCGCCGAGGCGCTGCCGCTGCTGCGCGCATTCGCAGAGGTCAACCGCAGCGTTGCAGAGGAATGGGCGGCGCTGAATGCAGGCGTGGTGAGCCTTGAGCAAAGGGTTGGTTAGGCTGGTGGGTGACGTGTCACTTGGCTCGCGTGGATGGCGGTGTGTTGCTTGGTCAATATGCCGCCTGCATGCCTTGTGATCATAACATCATAAGTATTAAAGGAGTTTTTCCAGCAGCGCCGCCACAACCGCACCCCGCCATCCCCCCCCCCTCAACCTGCCCAGGCGGAGGGCAAGCGGGCGCTGGGGGACCACCAGGCAGCGCTGGTGCAGGTTGTTGACGCCCTGCTCGCCAGCAGGACAGGCAGCGGCCCGCAGGCCCCAGGAGCAGACCCGCTGCGTGGGCAGCCAAACATCCAACAGCAGCAGCAGCTGCAGCAGACGGCGGCGCAATCGCAGCCGCCACCGCTGCAACAGCAGCGCCGGCGCCAGCAGCGGCAGCTGCGTTCGTCGGGCGCAAGCGGGCCAGCGGCGCCCCCTGCGCTCGGCGGGGCGCCGGCGCAGGTGCTAGCGGCGCTGCAGCAGGCGGCCACAATGGCGCCGGAAGGCCTGGGGCCGCAAGCACTCCCCTCCCTGCACCAAGGGTTGGAGCGGAGCGGCAGTGTGGGCGGTGGGGCCGGCGCAGGTTTTGCAGAGGAGGTTGTGCCTGGCAGTGCCAACGCCACACAGGGGCCGTCGCAGGGGACCCAGCAGGAGCAGCAGCAGGGGCAGGAAGGGGGGGAGCGGCACCGGGCTGGCAGGCGGCGGCGTTCGGAGCTGGAGCGGGAGCAGCACCCACAGCAGGATGCTGCACTGGCACAGCAGGGGGCAGCTCTTCACGATCCCCTCTCGCAGCAGCGACAGCTGCTGCTGGCGCAACAGCAGCGGCAGCAGCAGGAGCAGCAGCAGCAGCAGGAGCAGCAGCAGCAACAGCGACAGCAGCAGCAGCAGCAGCAGCAGCAGCAGCTGCAGCCTTGGCGACCTCACCAGCCGCGAGGACCCTCGCAGCCAGCGGCGGGTCACCCTGAGCCACCCTCTGCAACCGGCCTCGCCACACCATACACTGGGCAGCAGACCTTTGGGGGCACAGGGCTGGCGGCGGCCATGGCAGGTGGAGCGGCCGGGGCCGGCTTTGGGTGGCTTTGGCCCGCAGAGGGTGGCAATGGAACGCAGGGTGAGGGCGGCGGCGGTGGCTACTGCGGGGGCCCCTCGCCCGGGGCGTTGGGGGCCGCAGCGGCGCTGGCGGCGGGCGGCAGCTGCCACAGCGCGGGCGGCTTCAGCGGCGGCTCGCAGCTGCAGCCGCTGCCTCAAGACATTCATGCGGCGTCGCAGTAGCTCAGGGGTGCACGCGTGCCGGCCTCTGCGCTCCGGTTGTGCTTTACTGCAACGGGCCAAGATCTGTCCCATCTGTTCTTATAATCTTTTTCTGTTTACTGGAATGCAGGGGCCACCCATTGCATGCCAGTAAAATCGCGGGGCCTGGCATCGACGTATCGACTATCAGAGGAATTGCGCCAGCCCTCCTCCGCCGCCCTGCCCGCCGCCCCCCGCGGCCGCGGGCGCCCCCGTCAGCAGGCTCAGCTCCTTCTGCCTCAGGCTGCGCCGCAGCCCCTTCATCTCCTCCTCCTTGTCCTTCTGGCTGGCCTCCAGCTCGCGCAGGCGGCCGCGGAGGGCCTCGATCTCCCCGGTCTGGCGGCGCTCCTTGCGCGCCTCTGCAGCCAGCTTGCGCTCCTGCTCGGCCTGAACCCTGGGGTTTGAGGTTGGGGGTTGGGTTGGGGAGGGGTGGTGGCGGGGCGTGGGCAAGATTTTAACAGGCTTCCGGCCATTGATAGAGGTGGGCTGGTTGCGGGGCGTTGGTGGGAGATCGGCAGGGATGCTGCCGTCGCTTGAGGCAGAGGGGGATCGCGCAAAGGCGGGGGGTTGGGTCGTGGGTGGCTGGCAGCTCGGACGGCAAAGGGCTGCGGTGCTGCCTGCAACGGGGCGCGGGGTGGCGGGAGCACGGGCGGGAGCGCGCTGGTGGCGCAGGCGGGAGCTTCTGGCCACATCTGGTGTGTCACGATGGCCCCTGGGGGCGTGCGCCTTCTGCCTGCTCTTCCAAACTCTGCCATCCAGGGGCGCACCTCTTGATGGCGGCGCTCATCGTGTCGGCGCGCTCCACCTCCGCAGCAAGCTGGGCCTGGGGCCGGCAACGCAGGCAAGCGCAGCGACGGAAAGCAGCGACTTTGCTGCGCAAGCTCACTCGTGTAACTGAGGCCACCTCCCAATGACCGATGACCCCAGGATGCATTCAATGCCCACCCTGTTGTGCTGGACCCTGCTCAGCGAAGGAGAACGCCTACCTCCGCACACGTACATGCACCGGCGCGCCCGCATGCGCAAGTCCCCCCACGCATCAGATGCCAGCACACACGCCGAATGAAGACAGGCACACCAGCGCCAACCCACACGCTCACGCGCACTCGCACCTGCAGCGAGTTTGCTGTGGCCTCGAGCTCCCGTATGATGCGGTCCGCCGTCTTGACGTGCGCGCTGAGCTGCTTGCCGCCGCTCTCCTGCAGCGCCGCCACCTCCTCCGAGTGCAGCGCCTGCAGCTCCTGCAGCTGGGCCTGGGGAGGGGGGGACGGGGGGAGGTTGAACGGGGGG